GCAAGAAATGCTCCATCGAATGCAGCTGGAACTACTCACTTGTACGATATTGCACATTCCACGAAACTCCCTTGTACCTTGGAATGGTAAGGCGATAGCACTGGTCCAAGTATTCCACACTAAATGAGGCTGCGATCACGTCTTTTTTTGAATGAACTAGCAAAATTTGATATTTTTTTGCAGCGTAGACGGAAAATCATGGAGTGAGGAGGTTACGCACATAGTTAGCAACTATTACTCTTTTCAGCTGACGTTTCCACTTTTGTCTAGACAGTTTTTCCGTCGCACCTTAATCCTATCAACTTTTTCACCACTTTTTTCCATTTGGAGTAGATTTTTACAGACCTCTATAGTTAAGATGGTGGGATGAAGACATATGGGTGCTACTTGAAAACCTTTATTTATGCAAAAAGAGAGGGTGAAGCGGTGCATAAACCTTAAGAGATTGGGTCATGCCTCCTTCGATGAAAAAGAGGGACGTGAGTGTGATTTACTGATGAAATTGCTACTACCAGTCACGCTAGCAAAAGCGTCATCTTGACACATCCACTTATCTCTTCTCAACGATCACTACCCACTTAGAAATGCGTGATTTTTTTTTCGACGAGATTTTACGGTGCAGACCCCTGCAATTTATTGAGTTTGAATTGACAAGTTGTAGGTAGAGGGAGCCGTTTTCACCAGCACACAAATGGCGCGTGCTTTTGAGCGCACCTTTGAGGTGGTAGGACGAGGGGCTTGGGATGAACCGCTTGATTGCGCCGACGCCATCGGTCCCCAGGGGGAAGACAAATCGCATTCTTAACATGACCCAACACAATGGCTCCTCCTTTAAACACCCTTCTGGAGGTCGAAAGAGGTGAGGCAACCCCAACCAACTACACAACAAAGATTTCGCATTTTAAGACTACACAGCCACTGACGGGCATTAACCACACTAATTTATTTCCAGCATTCTTTTGCTTGTAATCTAGGCGTAACGAAGAAGATAGAAGGACCAAAGAAGATGCTGGCCGAGTGTGAGTTTGCCGAGCCTCGAGAACTGCCATTGATCATGCAGAGTGGAAGTGGATGAGGGATACGTCCTCGGAAAATGAATGAGCTATCGAGAGAGAATTTTTCCCTATCCACTTGCTGAAATTGTATCAACGAAAGAAGAAAATGTGTCCGAAGTACATCTACCCGATAAGCAACAAATATGTAGAAAAATTAGGTAGAGGAAAAAACTTCTTATTAATTGGCGCCCCAATTACATCACCGAAGACGCACTTTTTCAACATGAGTGACGTCAAGGTGTGAAGGCGTGACGGTGATGCGCTGCGAGGCGCTTTTGACAACGAAACATTCAAACAATACTTTAAGGTCACATATGCAACTTTGGATCACATGCTTGCAAGGTAGTGTTAATAAGGCGTGGTGAAGCGACAGATTTAAAACAAACCTTTTCCAATTTTTGTACTCTTTAGTCTCCAAGGCTTCAACAATCACCTGAATAAAACAGACCATGCCTTTTGTCTTTTTGCCCTTCCTTACTCTAATTATAGGCCTTCGCCCATACCGGTGTACCTCCAAGGTCGACGTGGGGCGCTATGATCACCCACCTGATGCATGACGTTGATACTGGATGATTCATAGATTGTGAATTGTTAAAGAGCTATACTCAAGTTCTAAGCTGTCAAGACAGTGAACGAGACATGATTACGAAAATGTGTATTGAGTGAGCATCTTAGACAAATTAGATGAATTTCAATGACGCCGCTGCCATCACCATCAGGCTTAGGACATTTAAGTTTTGGCGTTAATATTGTGAAGGGAGTAATAGGCGCCCCGGGCCTCCATAAGGGTTGCGGGAGAGCCGCTCTCTAC